CGGACTTCTATAAGAGCTTTCTAACTCTCTCCTACCTTCTGCCAGGACCCACTTTTAGACAATTCAGTAACTAACATCAGACTGTGTCATATTTCTGCTCAAAATCCTCTACAGATTTCCCCGGTTCACCTAGAGTAAAAATCCAAGGTCTTAGGACCAGCAAATGGTGTAATGGTTTCCTCACTGGACTCCCACAAGGCTGAACAGAGTTTGAGTCCCAGACCTGGCAGCTTGAAACTCACACCAAGTGTATGTGCATGCATGCCCAAAATTCCAAGAAAATGGAAGAGAAGGGATTGTGGCATAGTCGTCCCCTGGGGTGATTTCTCACTTTCTGTTTCTGTGTCTCTGTCTCTGTCTCTCCAGCAAGTGCACCTACCCTAAAGCAAAAATCTCTCCTAAAAAAAGAAATCCAAGGTCTTGGGGCCACTGGGTGATATGATAGTTAAGGTGTTGGACTCCCACATGGATGACCACAGTTCAAGTCCGAGACTCAGTGGCTTGAAAATCAAGCCAGACGCATGTGCATGCCTGTCCAAAATCCTGAGAGACAAATGGGGGAGAAGGGATTGTGGCATGGCCATCTCCCCTGAGGGTGATTTCTCACTTTCTCTCTCTGTCTCGCATATATTCTATGGCAAAAATCTTCATAAAGGAAAAGAAAATCCAAGGTCTTCAATGGGACTGGAAACCCAACGTGAGCTCTTGGCTTCCCCAGCTCATCTCTTACAGTCATACCCCTCACCTCCTGTGCTCCTGTCAGACAGGCTTCCTTGGCGTTTGGGAAGTGGACAAGCACGTTCCTGCCCCTGGGACTTGACACCTGCTTTTCCTTGGGGGAATGCCCCTCCCTCAGGTCTCTATAGTGCTCACTCTAGGCCTTCCTCGGGTCTGTTTAAATGTCACCTTAACAGAGAGGCCGTCCCTGACCACAGCATGGGAGATGCCCACAGACACACGCCTGCCCTCACTCTCATCTCCCTCTTGCTTCTGTGTATCTCATCGCACCCCGCCCCATCTGACCTGTTCGTCTCCCACATTAGGGTGTCAGCTCTCGGAGAGCTTATCTGTGGTTCCCTGTTGTTTCCCTGTACCTAGAACAGTGCCTGTGTCACCAGGGTGAGACTCTCAGGTTCTTGACTTGGTCACAGGGAAGAATTCAAGTGTGAGTGGAATAGCAAAGCAGATTAATTGAGCAGAGCTGAGAGCACACTCCACAGCCAGAGCCAACTGCGCCCTAGGAGACAGTGCCAGGAACCTTTGGGATGTCCCTTGATGGGAGATTTGCATGCCTGTTCATAAAAGGGGTGGGCTTTTAGGGTCTAGGGGTGATCTTGAGGACCCCTGTAAGGGTGCACATTTGTGCACAAGCTCTCTAGGTGGACATTCTTGAAAATACACCCATGTGTCATTAGTATGTAAAATCTTCTCCCAGAGATGTGTTTTGACCGTGCTAATGGCACAGAGGCCTGTTCGTCCCGTGGGGCGCTATTGCACCTGCGTGACCATGAAGCCACTCTACAGCATTGGCAGACAGGAGCTGTATGGATTCTCTTTGTGTGAAGTTTAGTTATCGGGGTTGGCCTGGTTCCCCTGTCCCTCCCTCCGACTCCTGTCTCAGTCTCTCTGTGGAGTTTTGTCCTTAATGTTGACCTGGTTTCTGTCTCCCACCTCTTTGTTCCTGTCTCACCTGGTTTGATGGGGAATGATTGCAAAAATGAACACTTGAGTGAACTTTTATTCTACTTTACTACTGACTCCTGTAGGAACATAGGAGAACTGTGAATTTTCTTAGTCTCCCAAGCTTCTTTAGGAAAATTAGGGTATGGGCATGTATGACATAAGATGTATCTAAATATTAAAGGTTATTAACGGGCTGAATACAGGAGCTTCCCCTAGGCATCCCGTAGTATATTCCGCTTGGTCCCTGCTGGCCAGCCATCCTCAAAGGCCTCCTCTCTCCCGTCTGCGGCCTCGTCGCGGTGCTCCCTTCCTAGTGGTGTGAGGGCTGTCACACAGACTCCCTCACTCAGCGTCCTCCCTGGCTGCTTGCTTTCTTCTCCCGCAGCACAGTTCGTTTCCTGTCAGGCCGTGCCTCTCCCTTGTGGCTATCCTCTCTAACATCCTCTCTCCTTTTTATATCTTTTTGTTTTGTTGGGTTTGTGTTCGTTTTGGTTTTTATTCGTTTCTTGCATGAGAAAAGGAGATAGAAACGAACACCCCGAGAAGGGGCTTCATGCCCCGATCCTACCCCCGCAGCCTCAGCCAGCAGAGATCAGGGTCATGAGCACACCCACAGGCACAGGGAGGCCTGGGGACACCAACCCGGGACATTCCCATGTGGTTCCCGTATGCCGTGGTGTGTATGGCTGACCTCCTTTATAATTTTAACCAATTATCTTGGAAATACGTCTCTTTTCTTCCTTTCCTTATTTATTTGTGAATTGAGAAAGTCTTAGGCAGGCAGTGGCATAGTGGTTAAGGCAGCTGGATTCCACATGGTCGGCTGTGCAGTTCAAGTCCCAGACCCAGTGACTTGACAAACACACTCAGCACATGTACGTGTGTACCCAAAATCTCAACAGGAGACATGGTGGAGAAAAGATTGTGGCATGGTCATCCCCCACGAGGGATGGTCATCCCCCACTTTCCCCCTCTCTCTCTCTGTTTCTCTCTCTCAAGCATGCACCCTCTAGCAATTGTTTTTTCAAAGGTCCCTAATTCTGATTGACTGGCATATTAGTGCTTCTAATAGACCTATTCCAAGGAAAATGGAAAATTAATTTTTTTAATTTGTTAGCATAGTGGTTATGTCACTGGACTCCCACCTGATTGACCACAGTTCGAATCCCAGACTTGGCCTTTTGAAACTCAGGCCCGGCACATGTGCATGTGTGCCCAAAAGCCCAAGAACTAAATGGGGAGAAGGGATTGGAGCTTGACCATGCCCCTTGGGGATGATTTCTCACTTTCTCTGTCTCTCTAGGCCTCTCCAGCAAGTGCATGTACCCTATAGCAAAACTTTCTCTAAAAAAATTTTTTAAATAAAAGAAGGCACTTGTACCTGCCAGAAAGACAGAGCGAAAGTGAGAAAACTCCCCCAAGCAGGGTTGGCCACACCATAATCCCTTCTCTGTTCTCTGGATTTGGGGCATACATGCACATATGCCAGCATTTTTCATGCCGCCTAATCCGGGATTTGAAACACACAGTTAGCTATGTAGGATTGAGCCACCGTAACCACCAAGCCACCTGGCTGGGCTGAAGATACAAATTTTCTAATCAAGTTATATGTAAAACAGATACCTTCAAAAGACTTACAGAGATCTGTCTGCTTCTTTATTCTCCTTTAACCTGTTTTTCCTCAAATACAGTCAAGTTACATTAATTTTCCTACTGAGTTTTATTTAATTTCTCACATTACAGACATACTTTCTATTTGTCATTGGAAATATTTAATGAATATATAACACCATGGAACACTGAAACAAGAAAAAGGGTGTGGGAGGCAATTGCAGACTCATTTTTTAACCATCCTGAGTACACAGCCATAATTAGTGGTAATTTTTCTATGGAAAGAAGGCAATTTGAGGTCCAAACAAATACCTTAAAAACAACTTTTAAAAATACAACCTGGTTGTTTTTTGTTTGTTTGTTTGTTTGTTTGCAGTAGGGTGCATGAGCTCGCTAGAGAGAGAGAGACAGAGGGGCGGGAATGAGAAATCACCCCCCTAAGGGGGATGGCCATACTGTACATAATCCCTCACCTCCATCCTCCTCTTGGGATTTTGGGCATGCGTACACATGGCCAGCATGAGTTTCCAGCCACTGGGTCCAGGACTTGAACTGTACAGCCAAATACAACATGTTTTTAAGTTGGGCATTTCTCATACTATCTCTATGAGTCTATATTTGAGAAGTGAAAAATTAAATTACTTTTCCCTCAAGCACTATAATCCAGGATTTCCCAAGGCATGTTTTACCAAAAAATCTAGTCCCTTAAGATGCTACTTGGGAGTAAAAAAAAAGCCCTGTCACCAGGTAACTTAGGGTACATGTGGTTTACTATATTCCACTCTTGAATGTTTATGATACACATCAACAATGAATGCCTATCTACAGTAAATTTGCCTATTTAGTTTTGTTTAACCATTGATCAGCAAACGTGTGTGACTACTAACCCCCTTTCTCATATAGGACCCTTAATGCACATGGACACACTTTGAGAAACAACCATGACTATTTCATCATTCAGAAAAAAAGACTTATATTTGTTTATGGCTCCTGTGTGCCAGACACTGTTCTTAAATTTTCACAGGAATTATCTTATTTAAACCTAAAATGAACCAATGAGATACAAGTGCTATTATCTTTTTCTTTTTTTTCTGTAGTTTGCAATCGGGCACATGTGCTCATCAGAGAGAGGCAGAGAGAGACAGAGAGAAAGTGAGAAAGAAACCCCCAGAGGGGATTGCAGTCCCTTCTCCATTCTCCTCTCAGGACTTTGGGCACACACGCACACGCGGCTGACGTATTTTCAAGCTGCCAGGTCTAGGGCTTAAACTAAGCAGTTGGCCATGTGGGATTTAGCACCTTAATCACCACACTCCCTCCTGGCCCTTATTTTTCACTTTCACAGAGGAAGAAATTGAGGTTCAGAAAAGTTAACAACTTGCCCAAGGTTGCATGACTAGTGAAATAAGCAATCGTGTCTAGGCAGTCCGTTTACAAAAACCCATATACAGGGCCAGCCCGTGGCCTAGTAATTAAGGAAGCTGGATCCCACATGGCCAAGCATGCAGTTCAAGTCTCAGCCTTCGGGGCTTGAGAAATATGCTGGATATGTTTGTGTGCATGCCCCAAATCCTGACAAAAACTTATATACAATCTCCAGTCTTTGTGACTTTGAATGATGTTAAAATAAATGTAAATAGTGATATTATCTATTTTCAAGTGCTGAATGAGCTATTTTACAATATTTTGTTATTTTTATTACATAGATATTGCTGGAATTCCTGTGCCTCAGAACTTGAGTGGATACTCTTTGTTGCCATTATCATCAGAAACATTTAAAAATGAACAGAAACTCCAAGACCTACGTCCTCCCTGGATTCTGAGTGAATTCCACGGATGTAATGCAAATGCGTCCACCTACATGCTCCGAACTAAGCAGTGGAAGTACATAGCCTACTCCGATGGTGCTTCGGTGTCGCCACAGCTCTTTGGTAAATGTGTTGACATACTGTTAGTGCGATACGTGTAATGAGCTGACTCACCGAGTGGTGCGCCAGAGAGCCAGTCGTCACTGCTAAGGAGGTGACTATCTGCCGCTGCCTATGCTGGGGCACTCTACAGAAGGTTGCCCATGTCAGAAGAAGCTTATTTGCAAATCAGCATCCAGATTTCAGAGATGGTGCACTCAGGCTGTTGATTTGGGTCTCATGATTGAAACCCCTGTTGTCTCTGATCAGGGTGTTTTCTTTTGTGTTTTTGTGTGTGTGGAGGTTTTTGCCTTTGGGCACATGCACTTGGTGGGGGGTGAGAGGGAAAGTGAGAAATCATGCCCCCCCAGGGGGAATGGCCATGCCACAATCTCATCTTTGCCATTCTTCTCTTAGGATCTTGGGCACTTATGCACACGCGCCCAGCATGAGTTTTGAGCCACCAGGTCTGGGACTCGAACTGTGGTCGGCCATGTGCAAGTTCTGTGGCATAACTGCTACACCATCTGCTGGTCCTCGGGGTGTCTTTAACACTTGTGGTTATCTTTCCTGATCAGTAGTGAACACCTTCTCGTTGTTCCTATGTCTCACCTATACTGAAGGATAAATGCCTATCTCTTACGGAGCCTGACAGTCTAATATATGAGTTAATGTTCACCACAACCCTATAAAATAGTATCATTGTTCTCATTCTATAGAGAAGGAGACTAGGGGCGTCAGAAAAATTCGGATACCTATGTTAAGATCTCACAGCTAAGAGACAGCAAAACTACAATTCCAATGCAGGTCTACCTTCAAAATCTGTACTCCTTCCACCCTATAAATATGCCTTCCAGCTTTACTGCTCAGTGAATTAATTTTTTAAAATCATTATCGGATTTAAGGTTTTACTTATTCTTTAGCTAAAGCCATTTATATTTATTTCTCCCTAAGTTCCCTTCCCAATTACAAATGTCAAAATTATTAACTCGAAATAATTCTCTAGGGTCCAAACTGATTAATCCTCTTAACTCTAAGAGCAAGGGATTCTTGGTTTCAAAGGGAAGTCTTTACATTTTTATCCCAGTCAAAACTGACGTGTTCTCATTGACCAATGTCAAATGAAATGTATGGGAGGCCATTTTCTTAGACTGAGGTCCCACACTAGGCCCAGCAGACCAGACCAAATCATGATGGCGTCACTCATGCTACGTGCCACCCCCTGATCATACTAAAACAAACAGTTCAGGCCAGCCCCATGACCTAGTCACCAAGGGACCCGGATCCCTCATGGCCGATCGCAGTTTGAATCCTGGGCTGGAACCTTGAAAACCATGCCAAGCCCATGTACGTGCATGCCCAAAATCCCAGTGGATGGAGACCTGGAGAAGAGATGGCAGCATGACCACGTCCCATTGGAGGGCTCTCTCTCTTTCTGGTCAGCACATGGACCCTGTATCAATTTCTTTTTAATTAAAAATAAACAAAACAGACTAGTTTCCAACAAAAGAGATTCACAGTAAGCAGTTAGAAAGGACCCAGATTCTCAGAGCTGTCATGATGAGAACGTCTCCTCTGTTTTAGCCCTATAAGGAAAGTCACTTTGTAGTGACCAATCTGCTTTTTTTCTGGTTTCTGCTTTCTTCAGCCTTTTTCAGCCTCTAAATCTTATCTTGAATATAAATCAATATAGCCATTACCATAGTTGAATATTACACATTACATCTTGTACTGAAAAATCACATTTTACCCTACAAATATGTACAATTACATGTCAGGGTTTTTTTGTTTTTCTGTTTTTTTGTTTTTTAAAAAGAGCTTGTAGCAGATCAGCAGATGGTGTAATGGTTACATTGCTGGACTCCCATGTTGTAGACCATGGTTCGAGTCCCAGACCTGGTGGCTTAAAACACACCAGGCGCATGTGCATGTGTGCCCAAAATCCTGAGAGGAGAATGGAGAAGAAGGAATTGTGGCATGGCCATTCCCTCTGGGAGTTGATTTCTTGCTTTTCATCTCTCTGTCTCTCTGTCTCTCCGGTGAGTGCAAGCATCCTATAGCAAAAACCTCTCTGGGGGAAAAAAAAAAAAAAAAAAAAAAAAACCTAGTAGCCTAAAACAACCAGAAAAGCCCACCTCTTCTGCTCAGCTCACTCAATGGGATACTGCTCAATTCTTGAATAACTAAGTAAAAACCAATCAGATCTTTAAATGAAATATGTTGAAATTTTGGTTTTTAACACCATGCTCTGTAAAAAGCAGACATGATTATCAAAGAGTCCACGAGGGACACAGTCTTTCCCATATGCTCTAGGGTTTATTCACCAACTTCCCTTTCCTAAGGAGGTGTCATCTAAAGTCACTTAGCAAAGTTATGCGAGGGGTCTCCCAAAGTTATAGAAAATGCATATTATGAAAAAAGTATGTATAGATTTCAGAACATTTTTGCACCAAAATGAGCTCATACTTTAATTCCATTATTCTGTGAACTTTCTGAAGTCTCATCACATATGGAGAGCCAGGGCTTACCCGACTAATACACTCGAATAGGCCCGCAGAGATTTTTCCCTCCTCAAACAGCATTCATTGACTGTTTGAAGCTAATTGACATTAGATATTTGATTTGCCATTTTCCCAGCTAGAGTGGCATCATGGTTATATCCTGTCTTCTCGCACCATATATAAAAAGGTTGTTTATGAATCTGAAATACTCTATTTTCCAATGGAATAATTGAGAGCAGCTGTGATTTCCATGGTTATTTGCTCAGATGGACAGTATTGAGTGCAGCTTTCAAGAACTGAAGCACAAGATGCTAATATTAATGTTTCTATTTATTTATTTATTTATTTATTTATTTATTTATTTATTTATTTATTTATTTTTGGAGAGGTTTTTGCTATCAGGGCATGTGCACTCACCAGAAAGACAGAGACAGAGAGACAGAAAGTGAGAAATCACCCCCCCCCCACCGTGGGATGGTCATGCCACAATCCCTTCTCCTCCATTCCCCAGGGATCTTGAGAATACACGCACATGTGCCCGGTGTGAGTTTAAGCCACCAGGTCCAAGACTCAAACCACGGTCAACTACATGAGGGTCCATCGACATAGCCATTACACCAACTGCTGGTCACTCAAAAGATGCTAACACTAAAGAAAATTCAGGCTAAGTGAAGTTGCAAGAGTGTGACTTGTCTACATAATCAGTCTTCGTAGGTGAAATGTCTGGGGCTGTTGAAATGGAACGATATAAGCATGTCAGAGTAGACAAAATATGAGGGGGATGAGGAAGAATTAGTTTAAAACCAGAAAACCTGTGAGTTAGGAGTTATACCCCACTCATGGGTAGATAGGGGAGGGGCTCCCCATAATGGAGTTACTGTGGTTTTATTTTCCTTTTTTATTCCATTTTTTATTTAATTTTATTTATTATTATTATTACTTTTTAATTTAATACAGGGCACATGTGCTCACCAGAGAGCGACAGAGAGAGAGAGAGAGAGAGAGAGAGAGAGAGAGAGAGAGAGAGAGAGAGAGAGAGAGAGAGAGAGAGAGAGAGAGAGAAATCAAGTTGTCAGGTCCAAGACTTGAACTGTGGTTAGCCAATGTGGGAGTCCAACACCTTAACCATCACTCCATCTACTGGCCCATGTGGTTTTACTTTCTATGGTCTGATAAATGTTCACTATATCCCCATTATAAATCTCAGGGGAATTTATGACTCCCTGTTGCTGGACTAAAGTAACACCAAAACCAGTCACTGTCCAGAACACAGAAATGAGGAAATCTCTGTCATTAACTAAAACAACCATCTGGCTTCTCCAGGGACTGAGAGTAACTCAAGACTCCCAGGTGTCTTGAGTCCAGGACTTGGACTGGTAACCCATTTCAAAGAGAAACAGGTCTTCTTCCTTGTTAGGATCCTAAAGGAGGAGGCCATTTTGGCCTACCTGCAGCAACCTGCTTGGGCCCCCTTCCATGGTGTTGGAAGCTTTTCCTTCTTCGGTAAAACTCCGCTTGCTATCCTTTTCCTCTGTCAGCATTTCTAATTCCTCGTTAACAAATGCCAAACAAGAACCTGCACGAGTATTGGACCTGGTCACCCCACACCCTCACATCACCAGCTTACTAACCATAAGGGTTTGAGGTTTTCTGTGTCTAAGAATGGATAGGGAATAAAGTGGGTTAGCAGGACAATGATAGCAAGGAAGATAACTTACAAATACATTGCAGGATTATTTGACATTTGGTGTATTATTTTACCAGCTATAAATATTGTCCTTTAATTTATTTTACAAAAAGAAACTGAAAATAATAAATTCTGATGTATTATTTGTCATAATGACATTCTGACAAAACTTCCTAGTAGGTAACTATTTTGAAAGATACTTCTTTTTTTTTTTCCAGATCTTTCCTCAGACCCAGATGAACTAACAAACATTGCTCTAAAATTTCCAGAAATTACCTATTCTTTGGATCAGAAGCTTCGTTCCATCATAAACTACCCTCAAGTTTCTGCTTCTGTCCACCAGTACAATAAAGAGCAGTTTACCAAGTGGAAAGAAAGTTTAGGACAAAATTACTCCAATGTCATAGCGAACCTTCGGTGGCACCAGGACTGGCTGAAAGAACCAAGGAAGTATGAAAGCGCCATTGGCGAGTGGCTTAACCACACTGATACAAAACTCCTCAAGCAATAATAAGACTGTTTTACAGCTGCACATAAATATGTTTGAAAATCAAGACTATGTATTTTAATGAAGTTTTCATAATTACTGAATTTTTTACTTTTGAAGAACATAATACATTTTAAAGTAAAATGCCAGTGATTCTAGAATTAGATATTTTCAGAAATGGTTATGATTAAGATCTTATTTTTACGAGCTTCAAACAATTTAATGGAATTCACAGGAATGGAAGCACTAATATAAAAGTTATATTCCTCTGAATAATGTAGGATGTATTTAAATAATTACTAGTTATTAACAATTACTAGTTATTTCCTACTGACCATAAAGTAGTTATGTGTATTTGGTGGTGTTTGATGAGTTATTTATATTTAATGGACCATTTGGATGTATTTGATGGGAGCATTTGGAATATTTGTTGATAATAGAACATAGACCTTGAGTATAGCTGGTTTTATTACGTTTTAAAATAAGTGATACATTTTAAAAAGCGCAACGTAAAAGCTTCAAAAGGTACAAAAGGGCCAACCGTGCTGATGACGTTTCCCTCCTTTCTCAGTCCCCTGCCACCCAGGTCCCCCTTCTGTAAGGCAGCTACTGACACCTTCCCCTGCCTGCTTTCAGAGACTGACCACACATTTACAGAGAATTGTACGTACATATTTTTTTTCTATAGGGTGCATGCACTTGCCAGAGATACAGGGAGAAAAAGCGAGAGAGAGGGAAGGTGATAAATCACTCCCGCCCAGGGCATTTGCCACGCTTTAGTCCCTTCTCCTCCATTCTCCTCTTGGGATTTTTTGGGCAGACATCTACATAGGCCCACATGGTTTCCAAGCCTCCAGATCTGGGACTTGAACCACATGGCTGACCATGTGGGATCCAGTGCCTTTATTTCCAAACCACATGCTGGCCCATAGGTGTACAAATATTCTTATACTGGCCATGCATTTATAAACAAATGTAAATATTTCCTTCCCCCCACAGAAATGCATAGTGCGCATAATTGTTCTGCATCCCACTGCTGCTTTTTCTTTTTTTTTTTTTTTTTTAAGTAGATACTTACAAATGAAATGGTAAAATTACTGGGTCAAGAGTATATCTGGGTGGGTGGGGGGACCAGCAGTTAGCATAATGGCTATGTCACGCTGGACTCCCATGTAGCCAACCACAGTTCAAGTCCCAGACCCAGTGGCTTAAACTCATGCTGGGCACATGTGTGTGTGTGCCCAAGATCCCAAGAGGAGAATGGAGAAGGGATTGCAGTGTGCCCATCCCCTCTGGGGGGTGATTTCTCGCTTTCTATATCTCTGTCTTTCTGGTGAGCGCACGCGCCCTATGACAAAAACCTCTCCAAAAAAAAGGGAGAGTATATCTAGGGGCACAATATATTAACTGAAAAAATAAATTATTTATGAGTTAAAAAAAAAGTATGTCTAGGGGGACCAGGGGTGGATCATGGCATCCAGATGCTCTTGGGGTTGCTGTCTTTCTCACTCTCTCTGCCTCTCTCACTCAAGGAAAAAATAAATAAGTAAACTTTTAAAAAAATGAGTACAGGGACCAGCAGATGGCGTAATGGTTATGTTGCTGGATTCCCACATAGTTGACTGCGGTTCGAGTCCTGGACCCGATGACTTAAAACTCAGGTCGGGTGCATGTGTTTGCATGCCCAAGATCCCAAGAGGAGAAGGGATTGTAGCATGGCTATGCCTCCCATTGGGGTTGGTGGTGGTGATTTTTCACTTTCTTTCTCTCTCTCTGTCTCTCGCGTGAGCACACACACCCTGTAGCAAAAAACTCTCTTAAAAAAAAAAAAAAAAAGAGTAGACCTGATGAAATTTATTAAATGGCTGCATATACAAATTATCTTCAAGAATAATCACTGGGTAAAGATGGAAATTAGGGAAAATTTGCCATTCACCTTATGACAGCCCATAAAATACTTTAAGTTTTAATGAAAGATGAGCTTACCTTTAAAACACTGTAAGGTCCTGTTGAAATATATAATCAAGACATGAACATGGAATGACAGCACAGTCTAGGACGGGGGGGCCTAATCCTAAAATATGACTTCCCAAAAATTAATGTATAAAGTTCATGAAATTCTAACTTTGTTCCTAATGAGATTTTTGTTTGTTTTATTTAAACTAAATGGCCTTAAAGTTTTTATGGAAAAAATTAATGTCTTAAATAACTAATAAAATTATGGAAAAAAAGTATCGAGGAGGGACTAATCTTATTGACTTTTTTTTTTTAAGTTAACAGATTCTAATGTTATAAAAACAAACTGAGATCAGTGGTGACCCCTAGCATTTGGTTAAACTGATTACCTACCCAGAGATGACCTGGACTCCTGACTTTTTACTACTCATTCCTGTTGGCTGACTTGACAGGTGATTGTGTAATGCGCAGCTCCCCAAGGCAGGGAATGCAAAGGTATCAAGGGCAGAGCGGATTATTTTGCTGACTTTAGCACTTGTAGTAAAAAGTAATTTGAAGGGGGAAAAAAAAAAAGTTGAAGTTAGAGGAAAGCTGTTAAGAAAATAAAATTAAGAAATAAATTTCCTGTGGATTTCACTTACTCACATTAGGGCTGTAAGTAAGTAAACTCCTTATCGGAGTTTAACGGAAAACAGACTGGACCAAGACTGGCAGCCAAATGCCGGTCATTTTCAAACACTCCAGTGACATCGTCCAGTCACTTTCTTATTTCCCGTTTGATGGTGTCATACTATGCTTTTCACAGTGTTTAAATCTCCCATTTCCATCATCTAAATACCAAAAACGACTACAGATTCCCTTCGACAGTCAAAAATAGGTTTACTGGAATGTTTTAGTTGAAGGCAGCAATACTCACAATTGGCTTTTGTCACACCCATAAACGTGGAAACTGCTTACAAAGCAACTGCAATGTGAAAAGAAGGATATTCCGGCAGATACTGACCGGTCATGCATCGCCTTTAGCATAACTATTTGGTACTCTATATAGTTCTCCTGGCCCTCAACTAACCCCCACCTCGATGCAATCATGCAAGTCCTTATGACACCAAAATACAAGTATGAGATACCGTTAAGAGTATAAAACCAAAGGGGAACAGCAGTTAGCGTAATGGCTATGTCACTGAACTCCCATGTAGTTGACTGCGGTTCAAGTCCTGGACCCGGTGGCTTAAACTCACGCCAGGCGTATGTGCGTGCGTGCCCAAGATCCTGAGAGGAGAATGGAGGAGAAGGGATTGCAGCAGGGCCATCCCCCCTGGGGACGGGGGTGATTTCTCTCTCTCTGTCTCTCTCTCTCTGGCAAGTGCATGCAGCCTATAGCAAAAACCTCTCCAAAAAAAAAAAAAAAAGAGTATGTGACTAAAGCATGAGTGTCTCCATTTCAGATCAGCCTTCGGATTCTCCATTCCCCGTGACTGGACCCACATGTGTCTCCTCCTCACTGAGTATAACTGTCCTTCCTCATAACTCGCTTTTTCAGCTTTTATAAAATGCTCTCACATAACTCAAGGCTTGTAGTTTTCTTAGATTTATGTTTTTTGCCTTTGTGGGTTTTGCGCTTATAACCCTTCCTTCCCTCTGCTTCGGGGCTGCATGGTTTTGGAGTGATGCGAATCCTCTTGCAGCCGCTGGCTTAGTAAAGCCTTCTTCCATTTGGCTAAAACTGGATGCCCTCTTATTCTCGTGCTGATTTGACTGCAACAGTAACTATATACACGAATAACGAACTGGCAAGTGTCTTGTTTCAAATTAGATCCTTGGAATATGGCCAAATCGAGGCTGGTTATCTTTGCCTTAAAGGTCATTATTAAAAGCACATTTTGTTAGAATGAGAAGACAATTGGACATCCTCGGTGTTCCAATTTGAAGTGATACTTGCCTTTTATTTTCTTGAAAACAAGTTTTGAAAATTACATACATAAGTATCATTTAAATTGTTCAGTGATCTTTAATTATTATTATTATTGTTCCGGATCTTGTCCAATGAAGATCTCTATCATCAAATCAAATGTAATGACACACTTTTGCATAGAAAAACATGTCATGCCTTTCCGACAACCTAATACTTATGAAGAGTTGATATGCTTAATAAATGGTTTGAGAGTTCTGCTCCCACTTAGAGTAAAAAAACTACAAGGGAATACTGCTCTCACAACCACCACCAGAAGGGGAAAAAAACAATAATAAGGCCAGGTGGTCTACAAAATCACACCTTTTCTTGAGCCTACCAGAAGAGGCAACAGGTAAACCAAATTCCAGAGGTTGGCTAGCCCCTCCAAGGACAGGTGGGACAACCAAACTGTCTCACCTTTGACAGAACACTGGCTGAAGCTGAAAGACTAGCAGCCAGAAAGGAGAGTGTGAACTGATATTGTGACAAATCCATAAAGACAAATGTGTGTGAAAATAGAAGTAGTGGCACCAGCAAATAACATAAAGGTTACGTTGCTGGATCCCACCTATTCGACTGTGGTTTGAGTCTCAGACCCAGTGGCTTAAAACTCAGGCTGGGTGTGTGTGTGTATGTGCCCAAGATCCCAAGAGGAGGACGGAAGAGAGGGGATTGTGGCATGTGGCTGAGTGGATTGGGGCGTGTGGCTGCCCCGCCCCGGGGGTGTGTGTGTGTGATTTCTCACTTTCTCTCTCTCCAGCAAGTGCATACGCCTTATAGCAAAAATCTCTCTATATAAAAAATTAAAAAAATAAAAAAAAATTTAAAAAAGTAGGAGTAACTCTGGGGAGCCCACATACAATGGAATTCACACAACTGATCAGTTTCTTTCATGAACTTCAACCTGGTACTCATGAAAAGGCTCAGGGCAGAACAGGAGACCTGATGGACACTCCCCCCAAGTTGGACAGGTGGACAGATTGCCAGTTTCTGGCTGGAGACCTCCCTGAGTGTGCCTATGGCACCAGCTGAAGGGGGTGGGCTGTGCAGTCAGGACCCTGTCAGGAGCTTGCTCTCGCTCACTCTCCTTTCTCTCTCTCATGGAATAAATAAATAAAAATAAATAAAAACCATCTGCCATAAGGCAGGAGCAGGTAACCCTCTTGCCCCCAGTCCTGAGCATAAGGTCAGCCATCATTGGAATTGGTAACTTACAGCAAAAGCTACCTGCTATTGGGGGAGATGCAGAAACCCAGTCATGACCAGAATCCAGCAAAGATCCCTCTCAGTAGGGGTAGGGACTGAAAACTTGCTCTTGGGACTTACAAGGCAGAGTTCAGCCTCCATGGAAGGAAGAAAGAGGAATGAAGAAAGCCCCACAGTTGAGATCCAGGCCTGGCATGAGACTGAGGTTGGAAAGAAACCACCCTTCCTCAGCACTTTTTAAAAAATTATTTTAAAGACTTAGTTGAGTGGTCTCTTTTTAAAAATAATCATTTTATTCTATTTTTATTTATTTATTTTTATTTATTCATTTTAATTTGACCAGAGAGAGACAAAGTCAGAAAGCAGCCACCAGGTCCAGGACTCAAACTGCAGTCAGCCATGTGGAAATCCAGCACTTCAACCACAACGCCATCTGCTGGCCTGCAACAGCCCACTACTTCTAAGAGAGGGACAGAGCTTGGAGAACAGCTCTACCCTCCAGCCATGGCCAGATGTGCAGGGCCTGCTTAAAATTGAGGTTGGAGCAAAAACACTGAGAAAAACCCTCCAGCATCCCAGATCTCATGAGATGCAAAATAGCAGCAGTGTGGAGGAATCGGAAGTCTACAGTATAATAACAGTGACTACAATAACAGCAAACCTAGACTTAGCTCAACTACTGACTAGATTTACCCACTGCCCACCCTGATGGCCTGACAGATGCAGAGGCATGCCCGTTTTCACAACTAAATACTACTTACATCAGTCACTATTATTCTTTCTTTTTTTTTTTTTTTTTGAGAGATTTTCACTGTAGGGCGCGTGCGCTCGCCGGACAGACAGAGAGAGACACAGAGACAGAAAGCAAGAAATCACCCCCCAGGGGGGATGGTCACGCCACAATCCCTTCTCCTCCATTCTCCTCTCGGGATCTTGGGCACGCACGCAC